TCTTGTTTTCTTGTTTTTTTTCATACCTGAGTCTTTTCTGCAATTATTAATTATTTGGTGATGTATTCACTTTTGGATAACTCTTTGGAGTAAGTTTCTGCACTTGTGAGCACATTGCTATGAATTGCTTCTGTACCAGTGTCTCTATTCTGCTGTGGTTAGCAATGTGGTATTCATAGGATGGGTTTTGAGTTCAGGTTCCTGAAGAGGAATTTGTCCATTTGTAATGGTGGTTCAGTGAGTAGTGAGGATTCCTCTGAGCCTCACAATGTCTGAATGTTTGACTACTATAAATCTAGTCCTGTCTAGTCACTCTGGGGATAGACTTTGTAGCTGAGACTGGAAGATGGGCTCTAAAGTTTGGAGTTGTGGCTAGAACTGAAATTCAGCCCTACCTCAGATTCCCTGACTGGGCAGGAGACTTCAAATGGAGGTGTCTGCTTAAGAGGCCTGCAATTCTCCTGTCCTTTCTAGCTGAACCAAAGCTATATATTTTGTGGAAATTAAAGCAACTTCTTTTAGATTCAAATTATGTATGGCAGGACAAAAAGATAAGACATAAGAGATTTTGAGAATGAGATGACATGAAGCATGAAATTGTTTGCTTTAAAATGTTACAACAGGTGCCCACATGGTAGTGCAGCAATAAAACTTGACACTCTGTAAAGCTGACTCACATGGGAGGCTGCTGGGTTCACCACTGGAAATATCCCTGAGTGTACTGCACATGTATGCTTATGATCCAGAGCTGGCTGAAGGTGGGGGTGGATTAGGACATTGGGACTTGTTGGGGGTTTTCTGTCTGTCTAGCTCATTCATGAAAGAAATAAATAAAATACACTTTAAAATAAAATGCTATAGTAGAAAAAAGGAGAAAGAGACAAAAGAGAAACAAGAAATTAAAAAATACAGCAAAATAATTACAGAATCTGGGAACAGATATATGAGGGTTCATATTATTATTTCTCTACTTTCATGTGTTTTAAAACTTTTAAAATACAATTTTAAAACTCTAACTAAAATTGAAGAAATTACGGGTATTGCAAAAGTTAGGTAGTGTTTTGGGTTCTGACCTGTTTTATCTATAGGTACTTTTGCTAATGTTAGAAAAATAGTGTATATAATTAGTTCTTAGTAAGTAAGTAGCAATTTAGCTTTAAAATCTTGGAGCAGAGCAGAATGCCTCTGCCTATTACTGCAATTTCCAGAATTAGTGACTTAAGAAAATACCCATGAGCTCATGTGTATTGTACCCAAGTTAGGACACCAAATTCCAGGCCAGGAAGCAGTGAAACACCTTTGACTATTTCTGAATTGAAATATTTGAGCAAGCACATTGCTCAGGGTGAATGCAAATAAATTCAAAATGCACTCTGTAAAGTTCTGAGTGTGTTTTATACCAGATGCTATCATGAACAATGGTTCCTTGAACTAACTTCTTTTCTTTCCTAGGAAGAACTGGAACTATGGTATCTGCCTACCTTATTGCCTGTGGAACATTCTTTACTGCACAGGTATGAAAGATGTTACTGTAAACTCTGTCTTACCAAAGTGCTGATTGAATTTGTTAGTTCTGAAACATCACTGGTAGGATGTAAAGATGTTCTTTTGAGTTATAATACCTAAGTGAAATTGTAATTGGAGAGGCAGCTTTTAGAAAGCCTGGTTTTGTTGCTTCCTTGTTTAATGTGCATTAGTTCGTTAGTTAATAACTGGCTTAAGTACCTTTTATTCAGTACTAGAACTCAGGTGAAGACAGTGAGACACAAAATTTAAGGGATTGCCACAAATCTCAGTAATTAAGATAAATAATGTTTAAAAAAATTTTTTTAAAGTTTGTTATAGGGCATGTGCACTCATTGGAGAGAGAAAGAGAGACAAAGTGAGACTACACTGGCCAACTCCAACCCCTCCTCCATTCTCCTCTCAGTATTTTGGCACACACACATACACATACCCGGCATGATTTTCAGGCTGTCCAGGACTTGAACCATGTCAGCCACATGGGAGTCCAGTGCCTTCACCAACATGACACCTTCCCCACCCACCCACATGTTTTTTCGAGCTGCTAGATCAGGGGCTCGAATCACACAGTTGGCTATGTGAGATCCAACCACCTTAACCACCATGCCCCCTAGCTGACCTAGGATAAATAATGCTTTAATCTATTATTTTAAAAATAAAAGTTAATGTGAAAAGAATCAATGATATATACAATAGCAGCATTTTTAAAAAAATTTTTTAAAGGAATTATTTTATTTTAACTTTATTTATTTCATTTGCTTATTTTAATTTGACCAGAGAGGGACAGAGTGAGAGAGAGAGAAAAGGAAAGTGAGAAAGCAAGCCACCAAGTCTGGGACTCAAATTGCGGTCGGCCATGTGGGAACCCAGCGCCCTTAACCACCACGCCACCTGCCGGCGCATTATCAACATCTCAAATAAAGACAGAGACTTGGGACCAGAAGTTGGCATAATGGCTATGTTGCTGGACTCCCATGTAATCTACCGTGGTTCGAGTCCCGGACCCAGTGCCTTAAACTCATGCTGGGCACGTATGTTTGCACCCAAGATCCCGAGAGGAGAATGGAGGAGAAAGGATTGCAATGTGACCATTCCCCCTAAAGGGTGATTTCTCACTTTCTGTCTCCCTGCCTTTCTGGAGAGTGCACAGGCCCTATAAAAAAAATTTAAAAATTAAAAAAGAAAGAAAGAAAGACAGAGACTGATAGAGGCAAGATTAAGGTCAGGTAAGTAAAGCTGAGTTGTATAAATGCTAAAAATCTTAGTAATCAGGATATTTCTCTCTCCTCACCTTGACACTGGCCCTGCTCTTAATGTACTGGTAATGTGACTTCTTTCCCCACAAGAATATCAAGATTAATTAGATAAGTTTTCCAAAGAACCGTGACTGTCATTAGAATTGCTAAAAATAGGGTCAGTAGATGGCATAGCGGTTATGTAGCTGGACTCCCACATGGCCAACTGCAGTTGAGTCCCAGACCTAGTAGCTTGAAAATCATGCCAGGTGTGTGTGCTTGTGTGCCCAACATCTCAGGAGGAGAATGGAAGAGAAGGAATTGCAGCGTAGTCATCACCCCTGGGGAGAGTGATTTCTCACTTTCAGTCTCACTGTCTGTCTCTCTCTCAGATGAGCTTGCACACTTCAGGGCAAAAACTTCTTTTAAAACATTGCTAGAAATATGACAAAAGGTGTCATTTTCCAACTGAGAATGAAGTGTCTCCTGAATATAATTATCTTTGCATAGCCAATATATGTGGGGTCTGTGACCCCTAGAAAGTTCTGAAGAGACAAGGAGGGCAGTTTCCACCTTTTGTGTTTGTTTGTTTTATTTTGTTTGTCAGAAGGTGTGTACACTCACTGAAGAGAGACAGAAGGAAAACAAGAAAGCACCCCCTTCCCCCCACCATGGAGCATGGTCAAGCTGCAATGTCTTCTGTACTTCTCACCTCCTTTGGGGATTTGGGGCACATATGCACATGTGTCTGGCATGATTTTCAAGCTGTTGATCCCAAACTACACAGTTGCCAATTGAGATTCAGCCACTTTAACTACCAGGCCATGGGCTGGCCTGGGCAGTTTCTACTTCTTAAAGCAGGGTTCTTGGTGGTTTGTCTACCATGATCTTGCTGAGAAGTTACTGGACACATTTCTCATTGTTTGGCCTACAGGTTAGAGAAGAGAAGTTGTGAGTTACACACAATGCCCCAGACTCTAATTCTACTGTCATCTGTTTGTCTAATTTGAGACACATGTGTTTTGAAAATGAGTGTTCTAGGACGGTGTTTTTAAATCCATGTATCATGATCTATTGATTGAATTTTAAAATCAATTTATTGAGTTATTAGCATTTTTTAATGAAGTGGAATAGGTAGAATAGAAAATTTTAAAAGCTAGGTAGTGTATATCTGTGTGTGTGTATGTGAACATGTATATCCCCTAAATTAATTAATATAGATTATAATTTAGAAAATTTAAAGTTTGAAATTCATTGATTCAGAGCCCTTATCTCTGAGAGTAAGGGACCTCTGGTCCAGGCCTGTGTTACCTCTCACTGGCCGCATTTGTCTCTGTGAGAAGTCACTTGCTTTTTTTTGCTCTCATTCTTCTCATTTGTAAAATGGAATGGTAGGATAAAAGGTTGGACCAGATGATGGCTAAAGTTTTCCAGCTCTAAAATCCATGCCTGTGTGAATCCTCGCACAAGAGAAGCCTTTGAGGTAGCTATGTTAATTTAGTTGCTTTGGGTAGTCTCTGTCAGACTGCTTAGAGAATGGGGAAGAGTATAGATGAGCATGACCGGTTTGTCTCCTGTTTTGCAGGAGAGTCTTTATTATTTTGGAGAACGACGAACAGATAAAACCAGCAGCGATAAATTTCAAGGAGTAGAAACCCCTTCTCAGGTAAGTTTTTCTTTAAAGGGGAGGGGGGATTGTTTTTTAAGGGAGTGGTTTAAAGATTGGCACCAGCTATTTGGTTTCATTTTAGACTCTTCCTTTGGCAATCAGAGAGCAGCACTTGGATGCCCTGTGACAGGCCTTGACCTCTCCCCAATGCCTAGAATCACTCCTTAGGCACTGCCCATCCCGTGCAAGCATTGGTTCTCCCCAGAGCATAATACTTTCCACTTTATATTGGTTATTTTTTTACCAAGTTCAGGAGTTAATTACCTTCCCAAAGTAGGAAGGTCTAATACCTAAGGTTCCAGACCCTGAAGATTAAAATCACCAGCATTTGATTTCCCTGTAAGAGGAAATGAATCTTTTACAGACCCTCCCAGAAGAACGTAACCCTTGTAGAACATCATAAAGACTGTTTCTGGATGGATCCCGTGTGTGTGTGTGCGCGTGCGCGTGTAAGAAAGCAAGAGATGGGCCAGCAGGGGGTGTGGAGGTTAAGGCACTGAACTCCCACATGGTCAACCGCAGTTTAAGTCCCAGACCTGGCAGCTTGCTGTTTCACTTTCCATCACTTTCGCGCTCTCTCTCTCTCTCTCTCTCTCTGGTGAGCACACATGCTCTATAATAAATTTAAAAAATAATAATAATAAAAAATAAATTTAGATAAACAATTTTTTTTTAAAAAAGAGAGCAAGACAAAGGACATGGATTTTGGAAAAGAAAGAAAAGGGGAAACAAACATTTTTAAAAAACCCTATTATAACCAAGCACTAGTACACTTTTATATATATCTCATTTAATACTCATAACACTCATGTGAAATACATGCTATTACTCTATTTTCTTCTTTTAAAAATGTTTTATTATGGAAATTTTAGCTATGTACACATGTTAAGATAATCTACAATAAATCTTTAATCATTACACCACTGCAACAGTCATTTTAATCCATAACCAAACATGTTTCATCCATTGCCTCTCTTCTCTTCTCAATCTCCCCAATCTCACACTCTCTTTCTTTCTCTAACCTCGATTATTTTTTAAATCGTTTTTCTTTGTTATCTTATTTTCTTAAAGAATTATATTATTTATTTAATTTTATTAGGGTTTTGTTTGTTTGTTTTTTAGGTATACCAGACAGAGAGAGAAAGGAAAAGTGAGAAAGCAAGCCGCCAGGTCTGGGACTCAAACCATGGTTGGCCACATGGGAGTCTAGCACCTTAACCACTATGTTGCCTGCTGACTCCTTGTTTTCTTATTTTTTTACATTTAATCATTGTACATCTATATAGCACACAAAATTATTTTTCCAGCATGAATACACTATATACTGCATATTAGTACAAACATATTACCATAAACAATATCTTCATCAACTAATTTTCCATTTTTATGCTCATTAAATGTTTTCATTTTTTCCCCCTTGATTCCCTCCCTCCAATCCCCATTGCCCACCCACCTCTCACACTGTTTCAGTATCCGTAGTTGCTCTAGATGCTTTTATATGTTCCAATCTTTTAGTTTCTGCCATAGAGTGCAGACATTCAGTATATATTAAGTGGGGACATACAGTGCCTCTCTTCCATATAGTCTGCTTGCTTCACTTAGCAGTAAATCTTCCATATTCATCCATTTTTTTTATCAAATTCCAGGGTCTTGCTATTTTATATGACTGAGTAGTATTCCATAGTATATATTGGATCATCAGAAAAGTCATAACATAGTTTTTCTACGCAAAAAAGTTACACTTTTTCAATCCATTCATCGGTTCTTGGACATTGGGTTAATTTCATGTCTTTACAAATGTGAATAATACTTCAGTAAACAGCAAGTATTTTTCCAGCTGAATGTTTTCCTATCCTTTAGGTAGATACCCAGGGGTGGTATTATGGGAATGTATGGTAGTTCTATTTATAGATTTTTGAAGAACCTCCATATTATTCTCCAGAGTGGCTGTACTAATTTACATTCCCATCAAAAGTGAAGAGTTCTTTTTTTCACTGCAGTCTTGCCAGCACTTATCGTTCTTTATTTTTTAAATCTTAGCCATTCTGACTGGAGTTAAGTGGTTCCTCATTGTGATTTTGATTTACATCTCCCTATGATAACGGATGTTGAGCATTTTTTCATATGCTTTTTGGCTGTTCATGTGTCTTCCTTGGAGATTTGTCTGTTCAGCTTGTTTGCCCATCTTTTGATTGCATTGATTATTATTTTATTTTATTTTGCAGATAAACTGTTTGAGTTCACTGTATATTCTGGTTATCAGCCCCTTTTCTGAAGTGTATTTATAGATATATTATCCCATTCCAAGGGCTGTCTCTTTACTCTAATTGTTTCTTTTGCTGTGCTGAAGTTTTTAACCCAAAGTAATCCCACTTGTCTAGTTTCAAAATTAACGCGCCTGTACATCGTGTGTGTGTGTGGGGGGGGGTGTCTTATTTAAGAAGACTATGCCTACTCAGATGTCTCCAAGAATTTTCCCTATGTTTTCCACCAGTATTTTTATAATTTGACGTTTTATTTCTAGATCTTTGATCCATCTGATTTGATTTTTGTTAATGGTGAGAAATAGGAATCCAGTTTCATTGTTCTGCAGATAGATACCTAGTTTTTTCCAGCATCATTTGCTGAAAAGACTTTCTTTGCCCCAGTGGATTGTATTCTGCCTTTTATCAAAAATCAGTTGGCTGTATGTTTTGAGGTTTATTTCTGGGTTCTCTAGTTTGTTCCATTGGTCTACATGTCTGTTTTTGTGCCAATACAATTCTGTTTCAATTATCACAGCTTTGTAATATATTTTGGAGTCAGGGAGTAAGCTGCCTTCTACTTTATTCTTTTTGTACAGAATTGCTTTGTTGATGATGGGGCTTTTTATGATTCCAGACAAATTTTATAAATTTTTTTCTATTGCCGTGAGGAATATCTCTGGCAATTTGATTGGGATTACATTAAATTTGTAAGTTAATTTGGGTAGAAGTGTCATTTCAATTATATCAGTTCTTCCAATTCAGGAACATCTTTGTTCACTTTTTGGTGTCATTTTCAATTTCATTTTTAAGATTTTTATAGTCTTCCTTGTAGAAGTCTTTAACTTCTTTGGCTAGGTTTATTCCTAGTTATCTTATGCTTTTTGTGGCTATTGTAAATGGGATTGCTTTCTTCAATTCTACTTTGACCTGCTCATTGTTGGTGTACAGAAATGCTATAGATTTTTGTATATTGATTTTGTATCCTGCCACTTTACTGTATTCATTTATCACTTCCAGAAGTTTTTGTTTATGTGAATTCTTTTGAGTTTTCTTTGTATAGCGTCACCTCATCCTCTAATAGAGATCATTTCACTTCTTTCTTCTTGATTTGAATGTCTTTTATTTTATTCTCTTGTTTAATTGCATTGGCTAGAAATTCTAGTACTATGTTGAAAAGGAGTGGAGGAAGTGGGCAGTCTTGTCTTATTCCAGTTTTTAGTAGAAAAAGTTTCAGCTTATCCCCATTCAGTATGATGATAGCTGAGGGTTTTTCATATATGACTTCCACTGCATTGAGAAATGTCCCTTCTATGCTGATTTTGCTTAGAGTCATTATCATTAAAGGATGCTGTATTTTATCAAATGTTTATTTCTGCATCAATAGATATGATCATACAGGGTTTTTTGTTGTTGTTTTGTTTTTTAGAGAGAGAGATTTTTTGCTATAGGGTGTGCGTGCTCACCAGAGAGACAGAGAGAGATAGAGAGATGGAAAGCAAGAAATCAACCCCTGGAGGGATGGCCAACCACAGTCCCTTCTCCTCTATTCTCCTTTTGGCTCTTAGACACACACGCACATTCACCCAGTGTGAGTTTCAAGCCACTGGTCTGAAACTCGAACCATGCTGGCTATGTGGGAGTTCAGCAACACAACCATCTGCTGGTCCCCCAGCATGAGTTTTTAAGCCACCAGGTCCAGGACTCAGACTGTGATCACCTACGCAGGAGTCTGATGGTGTAACCATTTTACCATCAGCTGGTCCTGATCATACTGTTTTTATCTTTCCTTCTGTTAATATAATGGATTACATTTATGGTTTTTGTGTTTGTTGAACCAAAAGGCTACTGGATCACAGTATATAATTTTTCTAATGTGTCATTGAATACCATCTGTTAGTATCTTGTTAAGAATTTTGTGTCTGTATTCATCAAGAACATTGGTCTGTAGTTTTTGTTTGTTTGTTTGTTGTTTTTGTTTTTGTCATGTCATTGTCAGTTTTGGGGACCAGGGTGACAGAGGCATTATAGAATGAATTTTGGAGGGCTCCTCCCTTTGAATCTTCAGAAAAAGTTGAGTAGAATTAAGGATAGTTTTTTTTTTCTTTTCCTTTTTTTTTTTTTTTTTGAGAGGTTTTTGCTATAGGGTGCGTGCGCTCTCTGGAAAGACAGAGAGAGACAGAGAGACAGAAAGCGAGGAATCACCCCCCAGGGGGGATGGGCATGCCACAATCCCTTCTCCATTCTCCTCTCGGGATCTTGGGCACACATGCACATGTGCCTGGCGTGAGTTTAAGCCACCGGATCCGGGACTGGAACCGCGATCGACTACATGGGAGACCTGCTGGTCCCAGGATAGTTCTTCTTTAAAAATTTTGTAGAATTCAAAAGTGAAGTCATCAGGACCTGGCTTTTCTTTATTGGGAGGTTGTTTATGACTGATCCAATCTCATTGCTTGTTTTTGGTCTATTCAGGCTTTCTATGTCTTCCTGATTTAATGTTGATACATTATGTGTTCAGAAATTTGTCCATCACATCTAAGTTTTCTTATCTGTTGGTACATAATTGTTCATAATATTCTCTGATGGCCTTTTGTATTTCTGTTATATCTGTTGTAATATCGTTTATTTCATTGCTGATTTATCTGGTTCTTTTCTCTCTTCTTAATTAGACTAGCTAGTGGTGTGTCAATTTTGTTCATCTTCTCAAAGAACCTTTTGGTTTCATTTATTTTCTAGATAGCTTGTTTATTC